CCTCCTCCTCCTTCTCCTCTCTTGTCCGTCACCACTACTCAGCTTCGGCGTCGAAGCTGTGTATGCCGTTGTTGTGTTTCGCCCCCTCCCTTTCAGAAATTCCCGCCTCAGGACCAGGGCGCATCGCGGGCGGCATCGTCGCTACGCCCCACCCGGGCGACTGGGCGACTCTCTTCCCTTTCCTCTTTGGCGAAGACCATCACAAGCCTCAGCCACTCCGGTGGGGACCATCATAGGCCCCACACCCTCGGCAGCTGCAATCATAAGGGCTGCCGGGGGTCCCGCTCCCATTTTTTAAATTGTCACCTTACGGCGCTATTGCCAATGGAGGGGACCGAGGCTCTCCCTACGGCGCCTCGGCCAACGACGACGGCCGTCGGGAAGGGTGCCAACGTACCTCCACAACTCAGACCTCAATACCTTACGGCGCCAATTGCTACCATCCAGCGTTTTCCTCCCTCCCTCCCTCCCCTCCCCTTCCCTTTCCTCCCCTTCCCTCCCCTCCCCTCCCCTCCCCTCCTCCTCTCCCCTGCCAGCCTGGGCATCCAGCCTCGCGACCTTCCTCGGCCTCCGCTCAGGCTCGGCATCGGCAAGGTCGACTGGCTCCGGCATGGCCTCGCTGCCGACCTCACGAGGAGTGCGGGGGGCAAAAGAGCGAGGAGGGCTGGCGGCAGCAGGATAAGCAGGAGGAGGAAACGGCAAAGTTTGGCATCGAAATCGAACGCCCCATAATGGCTTCGTCGCCGGAGCAAGGGCCTTTTCCTCCCTGGGCCGCTGAGCGGCAGGTTCGGCACCGCCACTGGTGCATTTCGCACGCTGTGGAGGGCTGGTAGAGGAGGGAGCCTGTCGACTCCGATTCCGCCCTCCCAGAACCAGGAACACCAGGAAGGTCAGGAGAAGCAGGAAGAGGACGAGGTCGAAGAGTTAGCTTCCTGCTGTCGTGTCTCACGTTGACCGCAATAACACTCCAGAGCAAGGCCCGCGGGAAGCGATGAATAGCCGAGGAAACAACGGACGGGCAAACGAAGAAAGGAGGGCGCGCTCACCGACCCGAAGCCTCGGAGAGTCGGCAATCACGATGGGCAGGGTCGGGTAATGGTTGGGAGTTCAATTGAACACGCAGTTGTTCTGACCTGGTGGTGCCCATACTGAAGAATAACTGGATCGACCGACCCGACGCCTCCCAAACGGTGTCCGAATAGGTGGGGTCGGAGGATCGCGCGGCTTCGCCGATGCATCGCCGATGCATCGGCGATGCGTCGGCGACGTCGGCGAAGCATTTGCGCCGTCGGCGAAAAAATTGGGCTCCACATCGTGCGGCATCGCCGATGCATCGGCGAAGCGGCGAGATCCTCCGACCACATCCACTCCGGCCCCTTTTGGGGGAGCTGGATCGACGGAGGGGTGACAATTCAATTCAGATTGGCTCCCAAGGCCGTATTGTGAGAGGAGGAGAAGGAAGGGTGAGGAGGAAGAGAGTGCGCATGCGAATTGCCGACCCTCAGCAACTCCGCCTCCAGGAACGCGTCCAGCCGTCGCCTCAGCTCCGCCTTGTTGCCAGTGGGTGGGACCCCCGCATCCTTGCGACATGAAAGGGATGGACAAGGACGCCCGGAGCAAGATGATCATGATGAGGACGAAGGGCGAGATGAGGAGGAGGAGGAGGAGGAGGAGGAGGAGGACGAAGAGGAGAAGCACCAAGAGTAGGAGCAGGAAGAGGGAGGTGGAAAGAGAGGAGGAGGAGGAGGAGGAGGAGGAGGAGGAGGAGGAGAAGGAGGAGGAGGAGGAGGAGGAGGAGGCGGACGACGACAAGGAAGAGGGACAGATGGAGGAGGTGGGAACGAGAGCGAGGAAAGAACGGCAGGGAGGTCCGACTCGGACCCCGGGACCGGCTCTTCATCCAGAGTGTCGTTGCTCGCCTGCCTTGAGTGGCGCGGTGAGGGCCCGCGGACGGCGATGGCCCAACTCTTTCCGCCGTCTCTCGTTGTTACGACGCCTGGGGGGCGGATCCGGCCGTGGCCGCGAGGGCACCCCAAACTTCAGAGGATTTTGGAACGCCAGGGGCGTGGTCTCCTCAACAGAAGAAGCCGTGTGATTGTTGGAAGCCGTTGTTGTCATGGTTTCGAGTCCAAGATCGACCCGTGGACCCATGCATGAGTTTGACTCCTCCTTATATATCACAATGCAGCGCGCCTGACGTACGCTTCCAGGGGCGCCGCTATTTCTTGCCGAGCCATGACCGGAAAACGGACATCGGGGAAGAGCGACAAACAGATACTGTGCCCATGCAGGACGCGCCAAATGTCCAGATAGCTACAGCCGAAAATGTGATCAAGGAAATCATCACTTAAGAAACCTGGGCCAGCTTCCCCGAAATTTCTCAAGACGAGCCTGGCCACAAGTTATGTTGTGTCAACGCTGGAGGGGCGACCGCGCTCAAGAAACGGAGCCAGCTCTCCGGCAAGTTGGCCAAGAAACGCTGGCCCAGCTTTTCGAGAGGAGGCTTCTTCATCGGATGTCGACTGTACCCAGGGCCTTAGTGGGCCCTGGAAACGACAGGGCCGTTTTTTTACCGGTTCCGTTTAGCAGTTTGTTTGCCGGTTCCGGCGCCGTTTTTTTCCTGGTTCCAGTTCTGGCTGCCGTTTATTTCCCATTTCCGGTCGCCGTTTTTTTGCCGCTCCCATCTTCAAGGGACATTTTTCTGGAGACGGTGAAAAGACGGCCCTGCCGTGTCCGGCGCCTACAAAGATGTCGACTGTACCCTGGGCGCCTAATTCCGCGCTCCGCGCGGAGCGAGGCGCGCGAATATATCACCTCGCGCTCCGACGCCGCCCCCCAGGCAGGAGCAGAGGAGGAATCGAGGAGGACTCGGGGCCGAAGCGCGAAGCGCGAACAACAGCTTCGCGCCCTCGAGAGGGCGCGCTAAGATGCCTACAACGCAAGCTCGGTCGAACAGCTTCGCGCCCTCGAGAGGGCGTCCTTGGATGCCTACAAGACAAGCTCGGTCGAGTAGCTTCGCGCCCTCGAGGGGCGTCCTTAGGGATACTCACAGAACGAGCTCGATGCCTCATCTCACCCCCCCCTTCGTGGCTCGGCAGCCGCGGACGCAGCACCGCGGCGACAAGTCGTTTGGGTCGCCGCCGGCGCGCGCGCGCCCAGAGGAACCATATAGCCTCGACAGGGGCAGCAGCCACGATAAGGGGAGCCGCGTAGATCTTATGCCGCAGGGGTTGCCTCCGCTACAGTCGGGGCGTTGACCTAAGGAGCCCTAAATAAGGAACGAGGCCCCTTTTTTCCATAAGTTCAGCTTCGCATCCCCATCGAAAACAGAAGGAAAACCCGAGGCAAGCTGTGAAACACTTCAGGAACACGGAGCCCCTCCCCAACGAAAAGGGTTCCTTCTTCAGCGTCCCGACTGTAGCTCGGAACGCCCGGGACGCCTGGGACGCCCGGGACGCGACGCCCGGGACGCGACGCCCGGGGCGCCGCCCGGAACGCCCAGGACGCCGCCCACCCGCTCGTGGAGAGCCACTCGCCCTGCCTCTCGTCGGGAGGAGCAGGCAGCTGCACAGGGAAGCGCACTCTATACATATACACCGACGCCTTCTCCGGCCCCGCACCGGAGCGCGCACAGGGGAAGCGGCGCCTGGTGTATGCGGGATCCTGGTGTATACCTTTTTGCGTTGTCTCCACGGGAAAAGCGGGTAAACAAGTATACACCACACCACCCCGACGTCGCCCCCGACCCTCAAAAAATCCTGGGCTTGAAAAACAGCCCGCCACTGGTAATGTATGCGTTCCAGCTTCCGACAATACACAAGCTGTCGGAAATGCGCGCGGAGTTCCTGGGGCGGCGCTGGACTGGCCTCTCTGGCGCACGGAGCGCGCCAGAGAGGCAGCGAAGGCGGCGCCGCCAGCGGAACCCAGCGCAGATCCGACAGATCCGCGCGGACCTCCGCAAGTTTCACATAACCCCAGCCTCGTATTGGTTGGGTCCCCGATTTGCATGGAGCACTGCTGGTCTCCATCCTCCAGCTTCTCCTCCCTCTCCTCCTCCCCCGCCTCTCTCCGCTTCTGCTCATTCCCTGTCGCGTTGCCTGGGCACTGCCTCTTGCGCCACTGTCGTCACTTTCGTGGGCTCCTGGGAGGCCCAGCAGAGCGAAGTCTGACGCGCACCTTGACGGGACATCACGCTGCTGAGGGGGGGACCCCACTGCGCCACTGTCGCCATTTTCGCGAGCTCCTGGGAGGCCCAGCAGAGCGACGTCATATAGGCATCCAGGCGGGACCTCGCGCTCCCTGATGGCCAGCCAACTGCGCCAGTGTCGCCACATCCGTCGGCTCCTGAGAGGCCCAGCGGAGCGACGTCATGCACGCATGCAGACAGGACCTCGCGCTCCCTGGAGGGCTGCCAACTGCGCCAAGGTCTGTGGTTTCGTTGGCCCCTGGGGGCCAAGGCGCTGTGCGGTCCTGCGGGCAGTTCGGGTGAGGGCGCGCAGATGCGGTCCCCTCTCCGACTTCGACACGAGCTGCTCGCACGGCTCACGGCCCCCATGGAGCTCCACTTGCAGCGAGGGCCCCCGCATGTGGCCCTCTGCCCATCTCATGTCGGCGACCCTCTTACGCAGATCGTGCCGCCTGGCTGGCGCACTGCCACTCGTCCTAATCATTCCGCCTCTTCTCCATCCTCCTCCTCCTCCTCCTCCTCCTCCTCCTCCTCCTCCTCCTCCTCCTCCTCCCTACTGTTGCTTGGCCTGCTTATCGCCATCCTTCTCTCTACGACCTGAGTCGCAAGAGTGCGTGGGTAGATGTGGAACGTTGGGGAACGGTGGGCGTGGCGTGGTCCAACGTTCCTTGGCGAGACTCCAGATCCCTCAGTGTGCTCTTATGTCCTGAGCAGTCCTGCGCATGGTGCTTAGGAAGGGCTCGGCACTTCCTTGAGTAATGCTTGTGTCGTTTCGTCGTCTTCGTCTTTTTCGATCCTCATGATCCTCCTCCTGCCGCATCCCCCCCTCCTCCTCCTCCTCCTCTCCTCATCCTCCTCCTCATCATCCTCCTCTCCTGCTCATCCTTCTCTCTCTCTCTCTCTCTCCTTCGCCGAAAACCTCACACGTGAATTCACCATTACAGCGAGTAGCAGTCGGGGCGCTGTGCCTATAATCAGTGCTCACAGCTACGCAGCCGCCACCTCCTCCTCCTCCTCCACCTCCTCCTCCTCCTCCTCCTTTCCTCCTCCTCCTCCTCTCCACTCTCCTCTCTCCTCTCCTCTCTCCTCTCTCCTCTCTCCTCTCTCCTCTCTACTCTGTCCTCTCTCTCTCACCTCTACCTCTCTCCCTCTCACTCTTCCTCTCTCCTCTCTTCTCTCTCCTCTGCCTCTCCTCCCCCTCTTCCTCTCTCCCCCTCTCTTCCTCCTCCTCCTATCCCTCCCTCCTCCTCCTCCTCCTAATCCTGATCCTCCCCTCTCCTCCTCTGATCCTCCTCCCCTCTTCCTCTCCTCCTCCTCCTCCTCCTCCTCCCCTCCTCATCCTCCTCCACCTCCTCCTCCTCCTCCTCCCCCCCCTCTCCTCCTCCCCATCCTCCTTCTCCTCCTCCTCCTCCTCCTCCTCCTCCTCCACAATTGCACACTATGAATGATACTCTCCTCTCTCCCTTGATGATTTCCGGAAGATGTCGGGCCCCCCTACGCGTGCTGTTTGCTGGCACACAGAATTCCCGGGGAAAAAGGCTTTCGCTGGGCTATTTCAAGATGTTGCTCCCGCTGCACCGCTGGTCGCGTTGCTGCGCTTCCGCTCGTTCCGAATCGTGCTCCCGTTGCAACGCTGGTATCATTTCCGCGCGTCCGCTTGTTCCGAATCGTGCTCCCGCTGCAGCGCTGGCCTCATTCCCGCTCTTCCGCTCGTTCCGAATCGTGCTCCTGCTGCAGCGCTGGCGTCATTCTGTCCAGTGCCATGCCACGGCATGGTCTTCGGTCCTTCCAAATCTGCCCCAACATCTAGAACATGCCGCCGCGAAAAATACCATGACGTACCCAACCCTTTCCTATACATGTGGTGATTATACTCAGGACCACTCAATGCTGACTGGCATTCTGAAGGACCCGCAGGACGCAAGAAGAGCACCCGACCTCACACTTTGTGGCGACAATTGCGCATATCGCAAGCCCCCAAGGGGGCGGCGAGGTCCCGAGGTGGTCCGCGAATGACGTACCTCCGCTGGGCCTCCCAGGAGCCCACGAAAGTGACGACAGTTGCGCAGATCGCAAGCCCCCCA